CCAGGATGCCAGTAACTGACTGGGAGACTAGAGGAGTCATTCAGATTCTGAAGCCCAGCAAGTCTCCTAGGGAACATTTTCTACACCCTAAATTATTGAAATGTAACTTTGATTGGTGAGCTCCTTTATCTGCAAAATTATTTACTCATATCAATAATTCCTGTCAAAATTTCTTTTTTTTTAGTTTTTTATTTATAATACAGTTAAAACCAAGATGGACATAACATGACATTCCAGAATAAATATTCCTAACAATTTGTTCCTCTTAATACATATAATTCTTAATCTCTATATAGACATATTCTTCTATACAATACAGTTATATATACAGTTATATATATTTCTATCTTAACACTAACTTAGAAACCGAGCAGTTCTCCTAGATTCACACCAGTAATAAAATTTGTCCCAGATTTCAAAGTAATCTAATTCTGTCTTATCCTTCATTTCCATTGTGAGCCTATCCATTTCAGCACACGATAAAATTTTATATAAAATCTCTTCTTCTGTTGGGATTCCTTTATTCCTCCAGTTTTGAGCATACACCAATCTAGCAGCCGTGAGAATGTGTAACATCAAATAAAATACCCCTTTGTCGTATTTCTGCGTGGTTATGCCTAGTAAAAAGAGTTCTGGTTTTAACTCTACCACTAACATTAATATTTCTTCCAGCCAGTTTTTAACCTTATTCCAAAAGTCACGGGCTTACGGGCACTCCCACTACATATGGTAGTATGTCCCTATTGCCAACTTACACTTCCAACATTTGGGAGAAACATTTGGACCCATTTTAGCTAATCTTGTGGGTGGGAGATGCCATCTGTAGAACATTTTGTAGAGATTTTCTTTGTAGGAGGTGGCCAGAGTGAGCTTCCTATTTTTTACCCATAATTCTTGTCAGATGTGCAGATCAAAGTTGAGATCAAAATCCCTGCTCCACGTTAACATGGTCTCTTTTACCTGTTCCTCATACATTGCCTGATCTAACAAATAATGATATAGTTTTTTAATCATTTTATCGTCCGTACCTAATAGTATTTTATCCAGCCCTATCGGTTCTAATTTTATGCCTAACTCTTTTTTATCTTTCCAATATCTCACCTGTAATTGAAGGTATGCCCACCATTCTAATTCTATCCCTTCGTCTTGAAGAATTTTCCTGGATTTCAATTCCCCTCTCTCGTCTAGAACATTTTTATATGTTATAATCTTTCCTAGTTGGATAAACTTTGGATGTACATGCATTTCTAATGATGAGATCCAGCTGGGGACTTGAGTATAATTTGGTTGCCAGGTTTTGACCCATACATCAATCAGAGCTTGTCTGATATAATGCCTTCAGAAATATTTGTGTGTCTTATATTTCTGATCCCATAACATAGCGTGCCATCCTATTTGTAGGTCATGACCTTCCAGGCATAATAATCTCCTGTTCTTTAATAATATCCAATCCCTTACCCATAATAGTATTATGGCCTGATAATATTTTTCCAGGTCGGGAGGCCAAGTCCCCCCCTTTCCTTTGAATCCTGCAGTAATTTTAATTTAATCCTTGCTCTTTTTCCTCGCCAGATAAATTTGAGTATAATTTTGTTAAAATTTTGAAAAAAATTTTTTATCCAATATTATGGGTATACATTGGAACAAAAATAAAATTTTCGGTAACACATTCATTTTGATTACAGCAATTCTGCCCATAAAGGAGAGCTGTAAGTTGGTCCAAGTATCTAAATCCTTTTTAATCTGTTCAATTAACTTATCATAGTTGTCTCTTTTGAGTGTAACGCATCTAGCAGTTAACTGTATCCCTAGATATCTTATTTTGTTCATAATTTGAATACCTATTCTGTCAACCAATTCATTTTTCTGTATTTTAGTCATATTTTTGACGAGCATTTTAGTTTTTTCTTTATTTATCTTGAGACCTGCTATTTTCCCATATTTACTCAGTATTTCCATCAATCTTGTCCCTCATTGTAATGGCTCTTCGATTATAAAAACTAAATCGTCTGCAAAAGCTTGTTTTTAAACGTTTCTTTCTTGATCTCTAAACCTTTAATCTGTTCATCTTGCCGAATTACTCTGATTAATACCTCAAGAGATAATATAAACAACAATGGCGATAACGGACAACCTTGCCTCGTGCCTTTTTGAATTTGAAAGCTATCGGTCATTTCTCCATTAATTACTACTTTTGCTGCCTGTTTAGAATAAACTGATTTGAACATATTTAGAAAATTTTCCCCCCAAATCCATATACAATAATTGATTGAACATAAAATCCCATTTCACATTGTCGAATGCTTTTTGTGCGTCGAGGAAAATTAAACCCATTTGCTTTTCATTGTGCACTTCATAATACTCCAATATGTCCAAAACAATCCTGACATTATTTCTTATGTATCTTTTAGATAAAAAGCCATTTTGATCAGAATGTATAAAATCTGCTAGAAATCTTTTAAGTCTGTGCGCCATTATAGCCATAAAA